TTCTTTTGATGCTTTCAGTCATATATTTTTTAGTCAAAGATTTCTATTTACTCTGTTATTTTTTTCCATTTTTGTGTAATTTTCTTTTGTAAGCATTGAATACTTTTGGTGTTTTATCTCAGGGCCTATTGGATTACCTTAAAGGAGATGTTTTAAGTTATTCAACCAACATCTGTTTCCATCCATACTCACTATGACATACTCATTTTCTACTACTTTATTTTGACATGTAAGTGAAGTCATTATCTTCTAAAATATGTTGATCTTTGTTATGTGATGTCATCTTGGCAATGAAGAATTACATATTTGTTCTAGTTTTTGTGATCAGGCTTTTACTTATTTTCTAGGTGTTCTTTCCAAGTTCTTTATTTTCTTTAAGCTTTTTTTTTAGTGGTGGAAAAAAATTTTAATTCAAAATAGACATTTGGAAAGCAGTAAATAAAAAAAATGATAATAAAGTCCAACAAGCTCTCTCTGCGTTTACAACAGAGTACACCAAGAGTCACAGGGCAGTTTCACAACTGCCTTGAAATGCATGTCACAGCAATTACATACAAATGTTATATTTTTAAAATCTATATAGCAACATTAGGGAATAGCTAAATGCACTATTTCTCTGCAGAAATCCTTTAAGTCAGCAAATAACATCATCCTTGCACTCCTATCTCCTTTTCTCCTTATTGGGGCTGTGCTCTGCCAGCAAAATTGTCAAACCTTGGCTTAGCTTCCCTCTTAATTTTTTGCACCATAGTACACCTGCACTGGCTTTTGGTCCAAAATTCTCTGGGTTGCCCAGTCTTCAAACCCCCTGACTGAACCAGCTGTCACTGTCCTTGACCTCTTCTAATCCTCTAGGTTTGCCTCACTGGTGCATGCCTGGTTTGCTACTGGCCTTGGGCATAGTAGGGACCCTGCTTCTCCTACTGGGGCTATGGACAGGTTTGTACTATTTTTTTATTCATATGTGCATACAAGGTTTGAGTCATTTCTCCCCCCTGCCCCCAAACCTCTCCCTTACCTCCCACTCCACCCCCTCCCTCTCCCCCCTCCCCCCCTCAATACCCAGCAGAAACTATTTTGCCCTTATACTCATTTCTATTTCAGTGCTAGATATATTCTAAGTCCAACTTTCCACGAGTGCATGCTTGGTGTGTTGTTCTTGTTCCAGATCTAGGAATGCTAAAAATAAGAATTCATAAATGCAATAAACAGAAGGATAGCTACCAGAGTGTTCATTCAGTATTTTGATGCAACCAGAATTATGTTGATTCCAAAATCCGGAAAGGGCACAATATATAAAAGATTACTACAGGCCAACCTGCCCAGTGATCATTCATGCAAAAATCCTCCACAAAATACTAGGAAGCAGATTCAACAGAAATCTAAACAGATTATTCGCCATGGTCAAGCAGGAGTCATCCTGGGGAAGGAAGTATAGTTTGTTCAATGCACATCAAAATATGTGCTACACCATATCAACCAAAAGCAAACCAAAATTGGATATAATCATTTAGATATATGCAGGAAATCACATAACAAAATTTGATACCGTATGTGGTAAGAAAAAACTTCCCCAAATTAGGAATAGAAGCAATATACTTGAACATAAGAAAGTTAATACATCAAAAACTGATTTCTAACATTATATAGAATTGCAGAATACATAGTATTTCTTCTAAGTACTGGAAAATATATGGCTTACCCACATGTGTCACTTCTGCTTACCAAACTACTGAAGTCCAAGCTACAGAATTAGACAAATACAATAAATCCATAAAAACAGAACAGAAAGAAAATGTTAACTATTTCCAGTGTGCAAATAATAGATCTTACATACAGAAAACTCAGAAGATCCACAAAAATGTTAGAAGAAAGATATAAACACAGTGAAGTAACATGGCATGATCAATCAATCTACCTACTGAGCAAATCCACAGAGTACAAAGCCAATATTTCTTTTTTTTAAATTTTTATTGTTTTATTATTCATATGTGCATACAATTCTTGGGTCATTTCTCCCCCTTGCCCCCCACACCCTCCCTTACCACCCTCTCTGGCCCCTCCCTCTACCCCCCACCCCCTCGATACCCAGCAGAAACTATTTTGCCCTTATCTCTAATTTTGTTGAAGAGAGAGTATATGCAATAATAAGAAGGAACAAGGGTTTTTGCTGGTTGAGATAAGGATAGCTATACAGGGAGTTGACTCACATTAATTTCCTGTGCATGTGTGTTACCTTCTAGGTTAATTTTTTTTGATCTAACCTTTTCTCTAGTTCTTGGTCCCCTTCTCCTATTGGCTTCAGTTGCAAAGCCAATATTTCAAACATATCCACACTACCATTTTATTAAGTTACTACTCACAAGTGCCAATATATGGAATCAACACAAATGTCCATGAATGGATGAATGGATTATTCTAAAACAATAGTATAAATACATGACAGTATATTATTTAGATATTTCAAGGGAAATACGTCATTTATGTTGACATGGATGAGCTACAATAACTAGCGTTCAGTGAAGTCAGCCAGATACAGAAAGATAAAAACTGAACCTGGACTACATTTCCAGAATTGGGGCTGTTATAAGACACTAAGGGAGGAGGAAAGCAGAAAAGAATGGTAGAGAATGAATAGGAAAAAGACCCAATGAAATATACTGAAAATGAAAAAGAATAAGGAGGACTAATACAGAATGTTATGCTGATTAAAGTACAATGCACTTACAGGTAAAATACTAAGGCAAAGCCCTACTGAATAATGAACAGACACGTACACCATGATGGACAGGAATTTACACATGTCATGTTAAGTTGAGTGAATATTGAGAGAAGGAGGGTAAATGAAGATGGTAAAGGTGGATGAATATCATTGAGGTACATTCTATACATGTAAGAATATGTAACATTGATGCCAGTTGAATTCATTTTAAAAGGAGTGTGGGGAAGAGGAAGAATAATGGAAAAGATGAGCCAAACCAGGGTCCATATAAGGAAATGTCACAACCAAATTCCTTGTATATCTATCATATACTACTAAAAAGTTTTTGTAAAAGAATTGAATGATCACATGTATATATGGATTTTATAAAGTTGATCTCATAGAAATACAGAACCAAACAGTCACTATGATGTCTGGTAAAGTTGGGGACTGTTTTGGAGATATATTGGAAAAATGATACACAATTCCAAATAGATATGAGGATCAACTTCAAGAGATGAAATTTATAACAAGATTACTATCATTAATTATCATACATTACATTTTTGAAAAATGGTAGATGGATAACAATTCAAATGACATTTGAAAAATGGTAGATGGATAACAATTCAAATGATAAGAATTAGAAGACTAATTCTTAAATTAGTCTTCTGTGTGTAACTACTTCAAAATGAATAATGCTTAGAAACATCACATTGTATACAATAAGTTCCAACTTTTAGCTCACAGTTAAAAAAATAAATGCATTTCAAATTACAAATTTTAGAAAAGTTTAATAGAAAGTACTTCTTTTCTTTCATACATTGTTGACAACAATCTACAAAATCTCCAATCCATAAAATCTCAAAACTTTTTTCTAAGGTCCTATGTCACAGTGAGAGAATTCCTGGAATTGGTTCCTCTTGAGAATGAGATATTTCTTACAGTAAAATTTATGAATTTTAATTCATGTCAATGAGAAAAATATTATGCATGGAAGAAATACATTTACCTCACTCAGTGTTACTTGTATACAAATAAAATTGATAGAAAATTACATTTTGCACTCTTCTTACCTCAGGAGTGGTAACATGTTGTAGACTATAAAAGCAATACAACATTTTAATTTGGAGCTCTGAAAATTCCACCATTAAAACTGTAAAAACTTTAAGAATATCTCTGTTTCCCATAATCTGTTATTCTCTGATCCAAGTCTCTATGAAAATATGTTGAATTTATAGGAACAGATAGTGGAAGCAAAAGAAAGCTTCAGTGGAAATCAATGCAGCAAGTTGGTTATTCTAGTGAGGCTGGAGGAGTAATAAGGAAGACAAGTCAAACTGGGTTTTAGTTTTGCAAATAGAGCAATGATAATGAGAAAATGAAATATTTCTTTAATCTTTGAAGGTGATGTGCCTGTGCTCAAATCATACAGTCCAAATCAAAGACCTTTCATTCAATTTCACCCAGTAAATTTTATTTAATTACATTAAACTTTCAAGCTCTTTTCTTCTGTAAAATAATATAGGAGTTTATACTTGGGAAACTATGGGCAGACAAAATAACACCTTACACAAAGCACATCCCTCAGATACTGAAATTTAGAAATCCACAATGTTTGTTCATGATGTTCTAGCTGCTATCTTCCTCATCACCATCCTTATTATTATAATCATAATCATCATAATCCCCCTGGAATGTTTAGGTAACTGTTTAAAAAACCCAGTTTCTGATGTCATGGGAAGTTCAACTAATATGGGAGAAAAGAAAATCTTTGAAGGAGAGTTTTCAGAGTCTTATGAAAAGCAATTACATACACATACACCTCCAGTTTTCAAAGGTAAAACTTCATATGGATATTTTTCCATCTTCTTGCTCAATTTTCCTGTTGGATCTCATAAAGAAAGAACAATGATTTCAAGAGGCTTTCTGCTATTCTTCCTCTCCCGTTGCACTTACTGGTTAAATCTGTGTCCCTGCTGTGTCATGACCAAAAACCATCCACCTTTAGGTTGAAAAGCAGCTCAGTTCCCATCTCTATGAATGATATGAACACCATCAGAAGGGAGTTTCTAGATGCAGACTCCATATATGTGAGACAGACACACGTATGATGCCAACAGCCTAGAACCTTCAAATCTAAGGACTGGAGAAGCAAGTCTATTTTATATGGTTAAAGGACATTATAATCTCAAGATGCAGAGTCATAACTGCACAAATATACTTGTTATCCCAATCTGTAAGAATATAAATAAACACATTTACATGTAAGGTGGTCAGTTTTGCTACATTTTCCAACCTATATACTGAATTGATGCAATAAGTCCCCAGTCAATATTGTTCTATTGCAGAGTCTCTTTAGGGTCCTACTAATTTCCCTATTCCTCAGGCTATAGATAAAGGGATTCAGCATAGGAGTGATTACAGTGTACATTAGTGAGGCCACAACAACTTTGATGGGACAATGCCATACAGTTGAGCTAATGTACACACCAATGCCTGTTCCATAAAATAAGCAAACCACTAACAGGTGAGAAAGACAGGTAGAAAATGCTTTGTACCTCCCACTTGATGATGGGAATGTCAAAATTGTAGAAACAATTTTGTAGTAGGAGAAAAGAATCCCTGAGATCAGTACAAAACCAAATATTGTGTCAATAAAATACATTACTAACCTAGCTGTAAAGCTTAAAGAACAGGAAAGATTAAGGAGTTGAGTAGGATCACAGAAGAAATTTGAAATTTTTATATCTTTAAAGCAAGTAAATTGTAAGGCAATCAAATTTTGCAGCTGAGAATCCAAAATGCTAATTGAAAAGGACAGCAAAATTGAGATACCACATAAGAGAGGATTCATAATGACTGAATAATGTAGTGGGTAGCAGATGGCCACAAACCGGTCATAGGCCATGGTGGTCAGAAGTATATCATCCATACATAAAAAAATCAAAAAGAGAGACATTTGTGTCAGACAGCCCCCATAAGAGATGACTCCTATGTTAGTTTGCATGTTCAAAATCATCTTTGGGACTGTTGTAGAGATGTAACAGATGTCTACCAAAGACAGGTTAGATAGAAAGAAGTACATGGGGGTGTGGAGGTGGGAGTCAGAGCAGACAGCTAGAACAATTATCATGTTCCCAAGTAGTGTTACCAGGTATATGTACAGGAACAGTACAAAGAGGATGGGCTGCAGTCCTGGATCTTCGGATAGTACCAGGAGATGGAATTCTGAGACACCTGTTATATTTTGTGCTTCAATACTGCTTGGACACCTTTGAAGAAATATTAAAAATGAAATAAATAAGCAGGCACCCAAGAGTCTGTGTGTTGTGAATGTTTAAAGTATATACATGTACATATATATATGTACATATATATATTCATATAATGCATCACATTATGACATCTTCATATTTGTATGCAATTTTATTCACCCATATAACCCTTTCTTGTCCCCATCCCTGTTCCCACTGGTCCCTGCAATAAGCATGCCCACTTTACTTTCATTTCCACTTCAGTTGATATTAATTGTATGAAGGGGTTTCAGATTTATATATATACACATAAACAGAATGTACTTTGATGACATTCGTCCTGCATAAACCTCTTCATCCTTTCTCCTCCCTTTTACACTCAAAATATATTTTAGGTCTAGATTCTACATATGGAAGGAGACGTGAGATTTTTGGTGCCAAATCTGATTTAGTTTGTTAACATGATGACATCCATTTACATCAATTTTCTTAAAACTGGAAAATTTTCATTCCTCTACATCATTGAATAATCTTAGATTTTTTTATATCTACCATACTTTTTATCCTTTCATGTGTCGATAGCCACCGAGTCTAAGAATATATTAAGCTGACTATTGTACAAGGCTATATGATCATTTTGACTCGTTTCAGCATTTGACTAGCAGTGTATAGCATAATCAAGTGGTAGCTCCATTTTTAATATTTTGAGGAACCTCTATATTGATTTCCAAGTGCCAGTACTAATTAATTTTCCCACATCCTCATCAACATTTGTTTTTGTTACCTTCTTTGATGATAGCCACTCTGACTACAGTGTTATGGAATCACAGCACAGTCTTGAATCACAATTTCTTTGAGGATAATAATATTGGACATTTTTCATGTATTTGTTGATGATTAATTCTTCTTCTGAGAACTGTCTGTTCAATTCATTTGCCAATGTATTGATTGGATTAATTGCACTTTGTCATTTGATTTTTGAGTTCTTTTATTCCCCTCAGGCTTTCTTATCATCTATTAAATCCTTTTTAGATTTCTTTTTTATTGTTGTTCTGGGTGGGGGTATATTATGTCATTTACAAAAATTCTTACAATATACTAAATATATCATAGTTGAATTTCCCATATCCTTCCATCATTCCCCTTTCTCCCTGCCTCCATCCATTCCTGGAGTGTCACCTGTATAGCAAGCATGAGCTTTAAGTTCAAACACCAGTTCCAACAAAAAACAAATGAACAAAAAACACTTTGGGCTGGCACAGTAGTTCCTTCTAACTGAAGGAAATATATACTTAATTCTATTTTAATATAATCATATATAATTCCTCAACTTAGAAGACAATAATGAAATGTGATAGGACTTCATTACCTGGACACATTATGGTGTGCCAGTTGTCTCCAGGGAGATTTTCATCACTTTTAGATACTCTGATTTTCCTCCTTCAGGACACAGTTGCTACCTTATATTCTGTTTGTATATTTCAAAGTTATTTAATGTATAACTCTCATCCCTGGCTTTGGTGAACTTCAGATACTTATAATACACATGATCATGTTTCAACAAATAATGACAACAAACATGACACTAGCAAATATACTTTTCAATGATTAAAAACAGTAAATAATCAGGTTCTTTGAAATTACTCATTTTATAAAGGATTATTTGTAATATACTTGTACAATATTAATACATTATCTGGTATTTGTGGTCTTTATCTTTTTTTGATTATTTATTGTATACTTGAAATTGATAACTTCATTGTTTTATTGATAAAAATATATTCAATTAAAGAATGTACTGCCATGAACTATCCCAAACCCATGTTTGAATTCCAAACTTCTCATTTCTAATGGATACATTTTCACATTAGTCATTCCAAATTCATCCATTGGAATTATTTCAATTTAGTATATGAAGAAAACTCAGACCAAATTTGATCAGGATGCATTATCATTTAATTGAGAAAATGTGAATAAAATGTCCATGAAATAATATGAATACACTTATTGGTGAGGATATGGGGAAAAAGGAACCCTAGTACACTGCTGATAGAAATGCAAGCAAGTGCAACTACTGTGGAAAAAAAATTGGAGGCTTCTTAAAATCTAAACACAGACCTGCCGTATGATCCAGCAATACCACTCTTAGGGATATACCCAAAGGAATGTGACACAGGTTACTCCAGAGACACCTGCACACCCATGTTTATTGCAGCACTATTCACAATAGCCAAGTTATGGAAACAGCCAAGATGCCCCACTACTGAAGAATGGATTAAGAAAATGTGGTATTTATACACAATGGAATTTTACTCAGCAATGAAGAAGAATGAAATCTTATCATTCACAAATAAATGGATGGAACTGGAGAACATCATTCTGAGCAAGGTTAGCCAGGCTAAGAAGACCAAAAATCATATGTTGTCCCTCATATGCAGACTTTAGATCTGCAGCAAGTGCAGGAATGTAGGTGAACATGGGTCACATGATAAGGGGTGAGCACTCATGTGAGTTATGGGTATAGGCAAGAAACCCAAAACATGAACTATTTGATGTCCCTACTATAGAACTAATGCAAGAACCTTAAAGTAACCGAGTTCAACATGAGAAGGGGACCAGGAACTAACCAAAAGGTCAGTAAGAGGTGAATTAACTTGGGATGCAACACATTGCTACATGGAAGCAAAACTAGGAATCTCTCTGTATAGTTATCCTTACCTCAACTAGCAAAAACGCTTTGTCTCTCTTATTATTGATTTTGTTTTCTTTCCAACAAAATTAGAGATAAGGGCAGAACAGATTTGCCTGGAAGCGAGGAGGGGTGGGGGGGAGAGAGAGGGATGCGGGGATGTAGGGGGAAGCAATGACCCAAACAATGTATGAATATGTGAATAAATGAATATAAAGTTTTAAAAATTCATTTAAAAAATTCTATGAAATAATATGAATACACTTGTATTTACATGTTTTCCCCCAAACAGTAAAAGGGAGAAAATAATATTACGTTATATAGCTATGCAAGAATGTGTTTTAAAAATGTTTTGTAAAATTTTGTAACTTGTGGTTCTCTGTTTCTTTTACTATCATATTTATATGTGTATATTTAAAAATCAAGATATCCTTACCTCGAAGTGATCCAATTTCAATAGAATACCTGCCTTTGAATTTTTGTGTTATTTTCTTACATTGGAGTTGAGAATCATCCTTTTAAACTATTTCTAGACCCTTATATAAAATGCTTAATAAGTATGAACGATTATCATATTCAGTGACACCTACTATGTATGTTAAAATATTATAATTTAATATTTACATCAGACATAAGTTTCATAGAGTTCTTGCTTATAAAATATGAGTTATTTTCATCTCTGCATGATTTCATTCTCCTGAATAGTTGTCATTAATGAGAAATATCTCAGCTTTGTTGGATAGATTTTCCTGTCAATACCTCCATCTCAGTATTTATTTATGTACCTAGGAACAGTTTTCATAAAAATTACTAATCTATAGCTAAATTTCATCTCGAAGAACCGTTGCCCATGAAATATCCTAGTTTATTTCAGAATATGTTCTAGAGACTCCCCTTGAAATACATATATCTGTGTCTATAGTAAGCATTGTACTACCTGAGAAAAGATATCATTTGATTTTGTGTGTCATTACACACTTTTAAAGATCTTGTGCCCCTGAATATTACACAAATGAGAAACTCTATGCAACCTATTTCTGGGTGATTTTCCTTTGAATTCCAACAAATCATGTATATCTAATTTTACCACTCATCACCTATCTTTGGTTTCCCAATAAAAAAGTGAGTTTTTTATCAAATATACCCTTGAACTGTTAATATATATAATCAAAACATTCCTTCTGTCTGTTGAGTAATAATACATTTAATATAGTACTCTCTTAAATTTTGTGGATGGAAAAATTCAGTTTAGCTCTTATAGAGGATAAAGTGCCCTGGAATCAGAAACGATAAAATACATATACTTGTACTCCATCATTGAACTGCTACTGTAAGGAGGATGTATATCAATTTGCTAACATTGTGTAATGTAAATGGAGAGAAAAACCTCAAGTATGACACATTTGTTTTTCCTAAGGGGAGTTCGTAACTTAGATGTTGATCAATTGTGATTTTTAAATAAAAATTTCCTGTTAAAATTCCAATGTCCTTCTTCAAAGAAACAAAACCCATCAATTTAATAATTCATGTAGAAGCACAAAAGACTCCAAAAAGAAAAGCAATCTTTAGTACAAAGAGCAATGCTGGAGGTATCACAATACCTGACTTTAAGTTATATTACAGAGCCATAATAACAAAACAGCATGCTACTGAAACAAAACAGAAACATAGACTGATGGAATAGAATAGCTGACTCAGAAATCAGCCCTCCTAGTTATAGTCATGAGATTTTTGGCAAAGTAGCCCTTGGAGAAAACACAGCCTCTTTGCTAAACGGTGTTGAGAATAGTGGATATCAGTTTCCAAGTAGAAAACTGAAAGTACACAACTTATCTGTACAAAAGTCAATTCAAAATGGACAACAGGTATTAAAAATACAAGACCCAAAATTTTCAAATTATTACAGGAAAATATACAGAAAACAGTTGAAAATAAAGTCATGGATAGGACTATTTCATTCTGAATAGGACTATGATTACTTGGGAAATAGTAGCAATAATGGACAAATAGGATTTCTACAAATGTAAAAGGTTCATTCTGCACAGAAAAGCAAACAATTACCCAAATGAGGAGACAATCCACAGAATTAGAAAAAAAACTTCCCAAGCTGTTCATCATCACAAAAATGATTAAGATCCAAAATTCATAGAGAACCTAAAAATTAAACACTGAAGAACAAGTAATCCAGCTTAACAAATGGACAAATTAAGCAGATAGTTCTCAAAAGAAGAAATACAAATAGCAAGCAAATTAAGTGAACAAATACATAACATCCTTAGCCATAGATGAAATGCAAATCTAAATAACACTGAGATTCCATCTTACTTTAATCAGAATAGCTGTCATGAATAAAACAAGAGAAAAAAGGCTGGTGAGT